CGGCATCACAGCCGTGCCTGTGCCTGGCCATGGGCCCTGCTATCTGGACGCGGATGCTGATCCACTGAATGACTCTCTGGCCCAGCCTTGGTGATGTCCCATCCCCACAGAGGTGCCTGATGCCCTGGGCTACGACTGCCCCCAGCTGTCCCTCGCTGGGCCTGCCTGCTCACCTTGCTCAGGGCACTGGACTGGCCTGGCTGGTGAGGTCCTACCCTGCCGGCCAGGTTATCGCCCTCGGCTCCTAGCTCCTCTCCATTAGAGAGCAGCCACCTCTCACTGCACCCTGACAGTAAGCATGACTTTTAACACTACCAGAACAAAACAAATATTGAGTCAAAAGTTACAAAATGTGATCAGGACAATGGATTTATGGTGACAAGTGACAGAGTTTTATGGTAAATCTTGTTGTGAGAGAGTTTTTTGTTTTTTTTTTTATTTTTTATTTTTTGCAAAAAGGATTGGCGAGGAGAAAAACAAACTAATATGCCTGGTTAGATCAAAGATCGCATGCAGTTTTTCAGAATCAGTTTGAGAAGAAGATGAGATTACACTGAACTGGGACATTGTTATTTGAAATAGAAACTACTTGGAGGAGTAGTAACAAAAGGTGACACAGCAGGTTTTTTTTTTTTTTAAATGGAAGACATCTCATGGCAACTGCAAAGATAAGCATTAAATCCAGTCTGGACACACAGTTCTCCAGATCTGGTCTCACAGATGCTGAACAGAAGGGAATAATCATTTCCCTTCACCTGCTGGCTACTCTGGTTGTAATAAGCAGGATGCAGTTGGCCTTCTTTGCAGCAAAGAAAGACCATGCTCATTCATTCAACTTGTCCACCAGGACCCCCCCCCAGTGGCATTGGCCAGCTGCCTCAGCACTCTGGGCTGCCTCTCCTCTGGTCTCCTGGCCTTGTGTATGTGTAGGTGTAGTTGGCCAAAGCGCTCCCAAACTCTTCCTCTGCCACAGCTCATGCTCCGCTTCCCCAGACTCTGCTACTAGGCCCAGGGACCTGGGAGGCCTGAGCAGGTCCTTTGCCAGTAAAGACCAGGGCAAAGGCGGCTTTGAGGATCTTGCTTTTTCCCATGTCCTTTGTCGCTAGGTCCCTGCTCCCTTGAGGAGTGCCCTCCCATTTTCCTTAGCCTTCTTGTTGCGATTCACTCATGGAAGCCTTTCTTGTTTCCCTTCACAGACCTTGCCAGTTTTGTCTCCTACTGTGTTTTGACGCTTAAGTCCGTCCCTGTGCCCTCAGGCAGTGTCTCTGTGTTCCTTGCTGGGTAGGCCATCCCTGCTTCCCCTGTCTCTGTGCTTCCTTCTGTGTGTTCGGGCTCAGTGATTTTATGCTGAGCGTCTTACCTTCCTGTTGCAAGATTACATGACAGACTGAATGGCAAAAGGGGCTTGGCAAAAGTTTTGAGGCAACAGGCTGGTTGAAGAAACTATCGCAGTGAAATTCCCAAGGCAGTAGTCTGCAATATGTACAGGCACTCCTGCTTTCGTGGTGGGCTGTGAGAATAACCTAGAAAGCTTTGTTCATAACAGCAGCAGAGAAGGACTTATAAGCGTTGACAGGGCTGATCAAAAGGGAATAGTAGAAGGAACCTGAAAAGTATTAATGAGTACTACAGGGAAAGAAAAACATGCTTCAGCGATAGTACTTGCAGGAACAGTGTGCTCCTGTAGCTCTAATTGGTCTAATGGGATTTAGAGTTTAATTCTCTTTGTATCATTTAGAGATGTATAGCTTCATTAGATACTTGTACCCAGAGAAGTAAGAGATATTAGTCTGATACAGAACAGAAATGTTTGCTTAAGTGCCTGTTGTGCTTACAGTGCCCCATACAGTGTTTGGTGCCCTAGTGAGTAATGTAATAGTTACACAGCACAAGTCCTATGAACTTAGCTTATAGGATTCACAATCCATTTGCCGTATTTGTTTTAGTGTAGAGTTTCTCTGGAGTAAGCATATGCAACACAGGAATTGTCTTGCTCAAGTTTAGCCAAAATTATTTTCTTTCCTTAGGAAAAATACATTGTTGCAAGGAATACAACCCTAAAGTATCTTTGCATTTGACATGATATGTTAGTTTTGCATATTCCTGCCATGAAAGCAAAGTGAAAAGCTTTAATTGTCTTATTCTTGAGCTTAAAAGTCTGTGTATTTATAGCTGCAGTGTTACTGCAGAGATGTAATTTTATTCTGATCTTCTCTGTGCACTGCAGTAGACTTAAAGCCGTCTGTTCTGAGATATGGGTGCACATTTCCATGTACCTGTCAAGTCAGATGTTTTTCATGCATATAATCAGTATTTACAGAACAATTTACAAGCAAATTAGGAGTCATTCCAGTACTTCCTGTAGTTAGTCCTGCTACACTGTGGCAAAATACGTTGTTTTCTGACATTTGTTCAGATTTATGTATTGGGAATACAAACACTTCTTTAGCAAAATGGATATAGAATACTTACATCTTAAAAGTTTCAGAATGAAGTAAATTAAATAGAACACTTTGTTTGAGATCAGGATAATCATGCCTACATTCAAAAGCATTCTGACATCTATTGCTGAAAATATGGACGTTATTTTTTAATATTCTGTTTGTAATGTAAAGTCATGGATTTAATTTATTCTCTGATTGACACTATGAAATTACATTTTTTTCATCCTTGTTCTCTCTTTCCTCCTCCAAGGCCCTTTGTCATAGCAATCTTCCTTTCATATACCTTGCCAGTGATGAGCAATGTAGCATTCACCCTCTTGCAACTGAACATTTTGCTTTCATACTAGTCATGGTCCAAGCTTCCTTCATAAACAGTGAAAAATTAACTATGTTGACAAACTGAAACTGAGTCTGTCATGAAAACTTTCAGACACATCATCGTACACATCACCTAGTATGGCCTCTTAAGAAGCAGCATATTTTAATGTATGATTGACTGCTGTGGCATAATTTTTCCATATATAGGTCTTGCTGTGCATAAATTTGCTAGAAGAAAGCTGATTTCTAAATGGTGCAGAAAGCAAAAATGTCTGTGAATAAAATGAATTATTATTTCTGAGTGATTTTTAATTCTGAAGACATCAGTATAGTAATTGCATCCTTAAATACTAGTGGAGAATATTACATGCTAAACAGATCCAAGCACCTAAAAACCCATGGGAAAATTATTATTACTATTATTTTATGTTGCCTTTTGTACTTGATAGTGGTTACAAGTTTTAATAGCACAGATTATATAATTTAATCTGTTTAGTAAGTTTTATTACCATTTGTTTTCCAGCGTAATTTCTACTATTAAGACTATACGAAAAGTTAACTATATAATTGCCAAAACTTCACATTTCTAACATTATGTGAGATATTACGACAGACAATGCCTAGCCTTCATATCCTAATAGCTATTACGATGCCGAGGATGGGAATGATTGTTAATGTAACGTGTTTGTGTGAGAATGTATGTATGTGTTGAACAGCACATAATCAAAAGCCAGATTCTGATGAGAGTTAGACCATTTTATGAATCCATTATGGCTGGGGTTCTGGAAAGCAAAACTTACTTACTTTTAGACTTACTGCGAATTTGTGAGTTTAAATCCATGCTCCTTCCTCAGAGGTACTAACTATAACGTAGTGGGGGGAAATGAACACAAAAGCCAGCTGTGTTACAAACTGATCAAGAGGCATCCTCAAGTCATTAGACTGATAACAGGCATGAGATCTGGACCTTTGGTGCATCTGTTTGCTGGAAACAGTCCAGAAGGAGCACCTTGAATCCTATTATGACAAACAGGCCAATTACAAACTCTTGTAGCATGCTGACTGCACATCAGTGTGAGAAATAAGGCCCTTCTGTGATGGGCTGTACAAGGTACAACTGGAAGGCAAGTGAATTCACCAGCAGATGCTATACAGAAAATTGGAATGTGCAAAAGTAACATAAGGTTGCCCAGGAGTGTACTACAAGGACACCTTGAAGGCATATTTGACTGAAAGTAAGTTACTGTAAAACTTCAATGAATTTGGGGGCACCAAAATGA